AGCGAAAGTATTCCAAGATAAATGCCATCTAATAATGATCATTTGATTACAGCTGTTTCTACTCAACAAAAACTTCTTCAAAGTTTTCTTGAACAGCTGTCATCGCGTACCACTCATTAATATTTCATTAAGACTCCATACAGAATAAGAATTATCATTGAACTATGCAATAATTATTCGCATCCACGAAACGATTATATATCAGATGGAAAAATACGATTGTTTATTATTTCTTGTCATAATAATTATATCATATTGCAAACATTTGCTAGTATAATTTGAATGGATGTTTGCTCAAATGCGGGATGATTTGAAGAACATATCAATCATCTTCATGCTAAATTCGTTTGAAACTCCAATAATCAATCATCTGATTTTTCATTCACATTCTACTTTTCAATGATTGATTACACAATCGTTCATTCTCTCAGAGTGATTGTTCCTTTGTGTGGTTTTTTTTGCTCACTTGTTCGTCATCTCTCGCTTTCTCAGTTCAGTAATCTAACTGTGCACAGATGTAAATGTCTGTCTGGATGTCGTATTGAACGACACGACCAGAACAAAAGAGAAAGAAGAGAATGATGAAAGAGTATTGTCCTGCTACGTATATCAGTCCCATAGAAATGATGAAGCTGATGAAAAAGCGGGCAGCAATGAATGTGGCGTAAACAAATGAGTAAAACAGCAGCATAGCGCAGAATTTCGTCTTTCTCACAAATTATCAATGAAAGACACAAAGAAAGAAGAAGAGAGAAAGAAAAAAGACAATGACGATAAACGTTTTACAAGGACGGTCATTCACAAATTCTTTGTGGAGGGGACTTAGAAAACGAAAGAGACAGAAAGAACGAGAAGAAAGGGAGATTTATGTGTATGTGTTTATAATGAGCAACAAAAGAAAAGAGAAAAGTTTATACACATAGCACATACACAAAGAAAAAAGAAAATGTATTTCAAGCTTTGGTGTCTTTCAATTCACTGATTTGCTTGATCAGAAAGGCTTTTTCGTCATTGAACTGTTCATCATCCGTACCTGTTTAAAATTCAATAGAAAACAATGAACAAGAGAAAAGCACTCCACACTTACGATCCGTGTGAAATGAAGTCAAAAAATCAATAAGTTTCTCTCGATTACGAAGAAGTATATCAGAGATAGCTTTTGGTTTTGTTGGATTGGCCACAAATATCTAAATTAGAGAGAAGAACATACGTTAATTCTTACTTAGTCATTTGTGGGAAATGAAAGCAAAGCAAAAACCTTAAAAACATGAAATGCTTCGAATTGAATATTTTTGCTTTTTTCTTTTAATAGATTCATTTGTTGCTTGAGATTGTCTGTGTTAGTTATATATTTTGTCATCACCGAAAAATTATAACGATCAAGCAGCAATTCTCCCAATAACTAAAAACAAACGGAAAATTGCAAAAGAACGAAATCGATTGGAATAAAAAGCAAACAACGAACAAACATCAGCACATCTGATCTGTACTACTTTAAATATGTCGAACACTTCTCGTTTATATATATCAAATGCCGAAAGAGTAAGTGGATTCGTACTAATAGTTGATTTCGAATTCGAATTAAATGCGTCCGATGGAAACAATCCATAGACAAGTGTAAATTTATCGAGATCGCATGAGAATTTCTTTAAAATACGCAGATTGGCATTTTCCATGATAACTGTCGACAAGATCTAGTCGAGTAGTGTTGATCGTCGGTTTCGTAAGTGAAAAATTAGCTTGAGATTCGAGAGTAACTTACTTTCAATGATTGACGTCGTGTAACGTAGTTTTCTGAATTGAGCAAATCACGATATTTATTGAAGAATTGATCATAATTTCGTTCGAGGAATTCTGCACATAGTGGTTTGTGTTTTGTTAGTAAATCCTTAAATAGACATTATTCAAGTTACAATTAACAGAAAATTATTCCAAAAATAATCCTTCGATTCATCGTATCTTTTCTGCTATGATCTTCTTTTAGTATGTGTAACTTCTAATAATATCACACGGATGTTCTCAACTACTATTTTATGTCTTTTCATGAGGAAAATGCAGTTATTTCCGTAGGATTTCAATTACTTTAAAAGTTGCGAATGCATCACTAGCTATATCGAATGTTGATTTTTGTACATAATCGAAAAATTTGTAGAAATCTGGCGATTTTAATATAATATCAGCCAATTCTTGCACACGTACAGATTCACGTAACATCATCCCACAATTCAATGCAATATCTGCATTTTCATATCTAATTAAATAGATTTAAAAGCGAAATTGCAACACATTCGTTCGAGATCGAGTGTTACCCTTCGATTAGTTTAAATAAAATTCCAGGACGTTGAATAATATGATCGACAGCTGGATATTTCGCTCCAACTTGTCGTCGTAATAGATTATTAAAAATCGCTACGATCTCTTTTCGATCTTCAAATGTCACACGACTTAAATTATTTATCATTATTGTCATTAAATCCTGGGTATAGATTCCACTACACAATTGTGAAACATCACTTATCGCAGGCTCACTACTACCATCCCGTGGACCGAATAGACCATCTTTTAATGCAATTAAAGTCTTGTGAATGTTTTTAATCGCCTGAAATTGACAATGATAGAAACAAACGTTTTCGAGCAGAATCGATTTACACTTACATCTTCATAGCTTTTCTTCTCTTTATCTTGTTCATTTTCAATCACAGTGAAATAATCTCGCAATTGTTTAGCATGATCGGTCTTTGACCGAGGCGCTAGTAAGGAGCTGAATGGCATTTTCGACATGATCAATCGATTGTGATTGACGTTAGAGACGATGAAGAATTCGTTCCAAATCTGATAATATTGAATACAATCTAGAAAAACAAAGATTCGGTAAATAAATCATATTAAATGTCTTCACATTCCGATCACAATAACTCAATAGGAACGTCTGCTGACATATTTGCTCACGGGACATATTTTGCATAGTTTGTTTTTTTTTCTCTATGTGCTATCGTGAAGTATCGAGGGTAATGATGGGTCTTTTCTTCGTTCACTTCCTTTGTTCGTATGTTGATTACTTTCTATCCAATTCGCGATTAGAATATCAAAAATAAAGTACGAACTAACGAATAGGTCAAATAAAAACGAAAAAAAAACAAAACAATTATATTTATATACCACCTAATTACACGCAAAAATAACGCTGGAGCATGAATGATGTTGTCGTAATCAAAATGGGTCTTTCATCACCGACCACGAGTTGCGAAACAATATATATGTATATATAATATATGATATATATATATATATATATATATAATTTTTTTCTACTATAAACGATGAGAAAGAAAAGAAGAATCGACGACTATTTCTCTCTTTCTCCCTTTTTTCTCTTCCCAAAAAACAAAACAAATAGACGCGCGTCGTCCTCTTCCTTACTTCACCTCCAATCCACCCACTCCCAAATGATAAGCAACACATTGGTCGAACATCTTCAACCAATCAATATCGAATGTAATTCAGAGGTCGCCATAGACAATGAACAATCAAACGGAAAACGATCTCTCATTTCCTGTTTTCAAGATCAAATTCTACGCTAAATAGACTTATCTATTTCATTCCGTATCGATTTACGTACAAACGGATGCTCAGCGAAAAAAAATTCATTTTGATTACTCAAGCATATTTATTATGGTGAAAATCATTCACACATATTTTGAAATATGTCAGCAGTTCGAAGAGTAATTATTTAATTGTTTAGAAGCTCGACAAGCGTATCAAAAGAAAAGAGAACTTTCAAGTGGTTGGATTATGATTGTAATAAGATGTGCTGAGAAGACGAGCAAGTCGGCGAATTTTTTCGAATAATTGTGTTTTGTCTACAGGATTGAAACGGTTTGTATGAAACTATGGTAACAATATGTGATTGTCATAGTTTACTTATGGAATCGTGACTAAGGAAAGTAACATCAACATGTTTAAAATCTATTGACACACGAATGCGAATTGGAAACTTAATATTTGTAATTCATGAATTTTGATTTGTCAGACAGCATACAAAAAAATACAAATTTTTTCTTTGATGTCGAGTGTGAAAGAAAACAAGGACGAAAGTTCATCGAATTCACATTGCACGGAGTCACTCAATGAAGTACTTGAAACATTCCTATTATTTTTGTTGTGGACAGGTTCTCCTTCTCCAGGGAGACTTGGCACGTATCAGTTTGATTAGCTTCATGATAACATTAATATAGATGATTTCCTCGATGTGATTACAAATGAGAAACGAACACAATGACATTACTAATCATTCAGCTATTCATAGTATGAGCATAAAACCGAACTGAGCTGCCGTTATATCGAAGACTATTGTCCATTATTGAATACACCCTCGAAGTAAGTGCGAAAATAGCAAAAAAATCAAGTTTTCAATAAACGATAGGCGTTCACTAAAGTAATATGACCAAAAGATCACGAAATGCCTTACCCACACAAGCAAAGAGATTGCTCGTTTATAATAATCGAACAAAAACCTTTTGTTTTAAACTACTCCTACGCAACAACACATACCGAGCCGTAGCATTAGTTCGTGATTACTTCTTGCATTCATTGCGTGCTTTGACAATTATTGAGCGGATATGAAGTGAAATACATGATTACAGGAAGATTAATTTGTTTTCGTGCGCACAAATATTGTAAGGTCAAATCAGCAGAAAATGATATTTCGATCAATGCAACCTGCCATTCACTTGCATATGTTTATTCAAAATACAATCTCTTTGAAAATTTCACATGATTAATTCCTTTCATTTCCAACAAAAAAAAGAATAAAGAAAATCCCGATCAATTCAAAAAGCAACAAGAAAATAATTCTTCTCTCCTTCTCTCTTTGCCAAAGCAAAATAAGCAGACAAACCGGATTAATAGTTAGTACACAGACTGACAACATTAATAAAATAATTTATGTGATGACAGAATGAAACAATACTCATTTGCAGAAAATTTCCTTCTTTTTGACGTTAAGCCACTTGTTCATAACGTTGTTTACGCATTTGATTTGCTAAACAACAAGCAAGAATGACTCCGACCAATGGAAATAACGCGATAGCAATGATGATTCCGCCGAAAATTGGATAATTACTCTTAATAGCTGCGATTACAGTTGCATAACAGCCCTAAATAGAATTTCAATCGTCTCTCTCTTTTCCGAAATAGAGACAAAATTGCTTTACATTAGTGTTGATATCTGCGGCAAGATATTCTTTTCTTAAATTGGCATTGGAACATGTATGATTTAATGATTTCTTGCAGCATGACGTTGGCACTCGAAGAAGTTGTTCGCCATATAGAGTTTGAAACCAATCTTCGTAGGAATCTACTCCGCAACATGATAACTATATCACAGACAAATAAACTAGAACTGTTTCTTTTTCATTCTCTTTCAGATAAGATTTCACGTACAACATTTTGAAGGCGATCAACATGAGACGCCATTGGCTCCTTTGGATATTGTTGCATGACGTTCGATAGACTTGTTTTGAAAGTGTCTTCATACTAAAAGCATGAAAATACTCTCGTCTTTCTTTGTTTCATTGTACTTTCACACATACAGTCTGTTGTTTCATTAGAACCGTTACGGCTAATAAAACTTCAGCGACAAAGATGAGAAAAACAACAGTCGAATACTAGGAAATAGAAGAGAAATATTATTGCAAATTATCAATTATGTATTCTTACGATATATAATAGAGTGATATGTCCTTTAACTGTACACCTAAAGTCGGATTAAATTAATACGAGTCGTTACTTGTTGTTTTTAGCAGTTTTATCTTACCAGAATGCAAATAGACCAATAAAGAAGATAATGAGACCGAGGCCAATCTAGATTAGAGAATCACTCAACAAGTGCAAAAGTGAAGCTGTCTAAAATTTCATACTAAAATATAAGGTGCCGATGAACTCATTTCCGGTGTTATATCAAGCAACGTTGAAAGTTGACCTCGTAAAACAATGCCAAGCAGAAATAGTATTCCACCACTAATCTAAAGTAAAAAGAAGCATAAATAGTGTTTTATTCAATTTGTAAGATATATACTCACCACAAATATAATATTAATGCAGATAAGTAACGTACGAAGCAAGGCAATACTTGCCGATGCGTGAAATCGATTCCAGTCCATCTATAATACTTGAAAATAAAGTGAGTCGAGAAAAAACAAAGGTATGTAACGAATAGGTTTTTTTTGCGTAGATAATGATCGCTTGTTCCCTAGAATGAATAGTCGAGAGGATTCATGAATACAAATATAATGAAAAATTTCCATTCTCTCATTCTAGTTATTTGTTGAGAATAGATCGAATATATACTCCGTTCCACAGAGACATGTCGAATCTATATAGGGAAGAGATCGACAATGTGAGGTAGATGTAACAAATATAGTTCTTTTGATTGTAATCAACGGACAAATGAAATGTGGTAGTTTACAAATTGAAGAAAGAGAAAATGATGAAGGATAAGACGAGCAGATGGCGAAAGAAAAAACAAGAAAAGAAAACTAAAAAGGAAATGAACGTTGACGGGATAAAACGAGTTCTAGGCTGCTTAGGTTTTGGATTCCAAGACGATCGACAGATTTCATCTCGGGTTCATCATTTATATCAGACCGACTGACGAAAAGAGAAAACAAAGAGATCGCGCGTTCATTTGTCTTACTCTAATGCGTATGCCAATGACATATTTGTTTGATTACTCTCGTACATCCCGTTAGAGAATCAATGCGTCAGAAATGAAATTCCTTTTCTTTCTTTTTTCTCATCATATTTACACAGAGTTTTAGCATTCTAACATGTGCAATTTACAGCTTTCAGAATGCTTACGTTCTCTCGGTCTATCAAGTATTCTTCTTCTTCTTCTTTCGTCTCGTCTTCTTCCTGCAAGAGCAAAACGGGAAATAAAAAGTTTTCCCTCGTATTAGTTTCTCGAAGAGGAAAATGACATGTTTGGATTCTATCGTGCACTCATCAACAAATAGCAGCATTGACTCGAGTTTTTCTTTTGCATTAGTAATGAATAGTGCTGAAATATTTATTAGTCGTCGAAGAAAAGCTCATTAATGCATTGACATAGACAGAAGTCACCCATCAGTTCCCATTCAAACCAAAATTACTCAAACATCAGTTATGCATTCGAAAGAAAGTCTCTCATTAGAAATCAAATTAGAAATCCTTGATGAGAAGTGAACTAACTTGGACAGGACAGAACAAGACAAGACAAAAGAAGAACCCAGTTAAGATCTCTCCAGTTTATTGATCGAATTCGATGAATAATGATCTGTAAATAAGTGGGCGAATGTTCGTCAATCCTCGTCTATTTAATAAACAAAAAGAAATGCGTTTAAATGCACCCGAGCAATATATATGACATCGTACATCTTTTGAATAACTTATTGATTCATGATTTTGCTCGGTTCCGGATATTCTTTGATCAATTATGCATTGAATATTCGTACTTTCAAAAAAAACATTTCTAAGACATCGTTGTTTGCTTTGAACTTCTAATCAACATCAAGGAAAAAAGAACAAATCAACTTGATTACATCGACAGTTTTATCCAGAGACTTGTTTCGAATTTGCTTCACATGCATTCTAGACTATTCTTGATTACTGTGGAAAACCGACCATTCCCTCCGTTTTGATCTTTTCCCATTTAATTATTACCATCAGACATACTCGTTGTTTTATACCCGAGATCTTGTTCCTCGTCTGTGCAGACATACTAATCACATTCTGTAAAAAGATCCATCGGATACAAACAATAACAAATGATTGTGTGTTGATTAGATGTCGACTATCACAAGGCCATATGTTTCATATAAAACAACACGTAACTGTGATGATTAAAGTACACACCTTTCTCTCACCTCTTCGCCTGGTTAGTGCTATTAGATTTCTGACCTTGAGAGAGCATTCAGCCAACAGATGTACTATATAAATCGTTTTAATTCGTTTTTATTAAGAAGGAAAAACCGACAACCGATTACAGGCGCGAAAAAATCGAAAGAAACATCTGTTTCCACACTTTTTTCTCTAGATATATGCATATATATATATTACAAAAAAAAAGGAAAAGTAAAACTCTGTGCATTCTACGCAAATAAAGAAAAGATTCGTCATATGATTTCTGCATGATATCTGTGACAATAGCCAGTCAGTAGAAAAAAACCAAAAAGATGCTCGTGAGTTTCAAAAGATATTTTGCTGTGAGATTAAACTTAATATATATATAGTATCTACCTAGAAACTGAAATGGAATAAAAGAAGTGAAATGAATCCAAGCACACAAAACGATGGACGTGAAATAAACGTATTAATTTTCGACGACAAAAAGAAAAAGAGAGCGAGAAGTTTTTCATTTAACATTTAGGTGTTTGACTTTCGAAAAATTTGTAGGTTGGATTTTCATAGCCATTCATTTGCAATGTATGCAACGCTTTTTCTTCCGGCGTACATGAGTCAACTTCAGTGAATGTATAATTTTTCTCGTATTTACCATACTGATGTTTTCTTCGTTGTTGGATGATGAGACGAAAGATGACGATGCCGAAAATGATGCACACAAATAAGATACTTCCAATAGTATATGGAATATACGTTGGGAATGAAGGACGTCGAACAGGTCGGGATTGATTATCATTATTTGGTGAGAATGGACGAATATCGTTGTGTGCTTGCTCATCATTTGTTGGTACGAGTTTAACATCAAATGTAGCATCTGAATCAACGTCAACGTCCCAGTTACTATCACCAACTTCTACTGGATCAGCATTATTCGTTCCTTTTGTTGCACTATCGTCATCATCGTCGTCATAATCATCTTCCGTATCATAGTTGTATTCACTATTTGCATCGTTATCGTCATTAGTGACTTTATTTGATGGTGATTTCGAGAATGGATAGATCTTTTTCTCATCTCGGCCTAACGGTAAAATTCGAGGTTTGCTTGTTGTTGATAAAGAAGCCATGTAAGTTGATACTAGTTTGTCCGCTGCTTGATTGACTTCATCATAGTCCAAAAGAAGTTCATCTGCAAAACGAAAACATGAAGGTTAGTAGAGGATAGACTGTTAGAGTGTTTTCTTTTCCGTACTAATTTCAGATTGGACTTCAGATTGGATCGCCGCGTCACGTTGGAGCTGAGTCAACGCTTGATTGATTTTATCAGCAATTGAACGTAATCGTTCATGAATGGATACTCGTTTACGTTCTGCTTGTAGAGGATCGACAGCACGTAAGCGCTCATAACGATTAACAAGATGTATACGATCTCGCAATAAAACATGAATGTAGTTGTATAAGGCTTCTTGAATCGTTTTCGGCTAAATAAAAAAAACTCGATGATTAGAGCCGAAGAAAGAAAAACAAAACAATATTTCATCGTTTCACACTTTATCGATTAATCATTTCTCTCAAGAGCAATTTCGAGCACGATCGATTTGATAAACATTACTTACATTTCAAGGATTTCTAAAAGTCATAACTAGAAGCGAATCAAAGAACGAAATATTCGAAATGATACAAGCTCGACAGCGATCGTTAAGTAATATATTCTCGAGTATTTACTTAACTATAAATGTTCACCACTTCAATATTGATGTTCATTGAAATCATCTCATTGATGTACACACATTACATCTTCTCTTTTTTGTTCTCAACCATCGTGTACGATGCATTCATTCATTCGATCATCACTAGTCAATCAAACTACTTCACATATATTTCTATTCCTTTCATTCGCATGTCAAATAAACATACAGACAACCGTGCTTGGTATGCTTTTTCTCCTATGCATGTTACATTAGATAACAATACAAATAAACATCGCATGGAGCGGATTAGAAAAATCGATTTTCTTTTACCTTGAGTGGATGTTCATTCCATGCAGTAATTAATTTTTGATTCGTTTCTTCTTTGGCTGCATCGAGTACTTGATCGAGATTATTTTCATGAACTTCATTGATACGTGTTCGTTCTTGACTAGCTGCTTGTTTAATCGTCTCATATTCTTGACGGTATTCGATTTCAGTTCTTTCATATTGTCTTTGGGCATCGGTCGGATTTTGTTTGGCTTGTGATTTGATATTATCTTGTTGATTTTGCCAACGAGATTTTAACTAAAAGATTAGATTGGAAGAAAAGAATTCGAGAAAGAAGAGAAATTTCCCACATCATCAATTTTTTGTTGATATTTTCGCCGAAAATCTTGCTTTTCTTTTGTAAATCGTTCATGTTCACTCAGAGTCAAATGGGACTTTTGTGGTGATGATAGTTTTATTTCTTCTTGATCATCGTTCGTATCTTCATCATCTAATCGTCAAAAAAAAGACACATTACTTCTTCCAAGAGATCGACAAAACTGTACCAGAGAAATATCCTCGATCGGAATTCCATTGACGATAATCTTCCATCCAGTTTGGTTCACCTTGACAAAAGAATAACAGAATGAAACTTAGAGAAAAACGAGCACCTCGTGTTCATTGACATACGTGATGCAAGTGACATAGCAATGATCTTTCGATGAGTTACCATCGTGCTTGTCTTTGGTACGATAACAAAATCTTGTACAGGATCATCTTCTTTCAATAGATCATCAACCGAATCAGCGAAGCCTGTTTCAAATTCAGTTTTGACACTAATATCTAAAGGAATAAGCGCAACTTTCTCTACTCGAGTTCGTTGTCTCTTAGAAAATACCATTTTGCGGACAGCAAATGTATTCGACACCACGGAAAGCAGACAGTCCACACCAATCAAGAGTGATAATCGAACTGTTTAATACCATTGATTTCTTCGTACAGTCAAGTGCTGCATATTGCTGCCATTTTTCAGGGCGTAAGCACTGACCAGTTTGATTAATACGATTGATTGTACAATCGAGAGTAGGATAGGTTGTTTCTTCGCGTTGAGAATTAACATGTAAACAACGAAATGGTTGCACGACTTCCTCAGATTGATCACCATCCTTACAACGCGAAATATTATTATCAACTGGCGGAAGCAATTCACACCAATTCTCAAAACGTAATACAGTTTCAAGTCGAACGATATTACCAATATTAAGTGACGGATAAGCCTTAAAAAAGGAACGTGAAGTTCGAGTTGATCGTATGAACTAAATTTTACTTGTTGACAAAATTCAAGAATACTTTGCTCATTGTTAACACACGGACTAATTAAATGTTCGACCCATACTTGCCGTTGAACATCATAATAAAGATTTGCTTTGTTTGAGTCGCATCCTAATACGGCTACTTGAGGATAGTTATTATTCATTGAAGATTTGAGTATAGCTGCATAAGTCTTGAAAACAGTACAGGTTCATAGTTCAATCAGCAATGAAATAACACTTACTGTGTAGATGAATGTGAGTAAAAGAACAAAACGTATTAAAAACAGCATTGTGATTGATAGATGAAATGAATCTGAAATGAGTGGAATAATCGAATAAATACTTGAAGATGGAGAAAAATCTCAATTTGTTTATATAAACTGATAAAACATTGTTTTAGTTTTGTTTATTGATGCTATTGAGTCACGCAATTCACTCACTGATGACAAGTAAACACATTCGATACTTTATATAGCCATTAGCCATGAACAGGAAACCTTCGTAGAGAAGAAATTTATGAAAATACTTGCAGATCATTCCGAAGTAATAAACACATTCAAAAGCCGACTCTCAAGTGATTCTTTTATTAGTTTTAATTAATATTTACACAAGGCGACATCTACAGTGATTTTGATTCGTGGGAGGAAAATGCTAGTAGAACTTGCGAAAAAAGCGTATTTCACCAAGCCTTATTCCAATATTCATTCGATCAATATAGATTTTAGATCAGTGTCATACACAAACAAAATGTCAGCTACAAAAATATCGGAACTATCATGGTTTCATGATTTTCCACCGTTTTTTACGTAAATATGATTGTAGTTCTAATGTTAGTTCGTATCTGTCGATTTGTCTTTCAGTCTTCAACCGAATCTTGATACTCGTCGGAAACAACTCGATGCTTGGTGTTCGCTTATTCTTGATTATTGTCGCATGAAAAAAGTCTGTACATTCGATGTTAATGATGCCAGTAAATTCCCACCATTTTTCAATGCCAAAATTAATCGTACGAGCTCATTTTTTCAAACTTATTTTCAATTCATACGCTTGCATTTGCTTTCAGGTCAACTCGACAGTAACTTCATTCAGGTTATACTTGAAGAATTACGTAGTCGAGGCAATATCGAATGGGAGGATAAAAGTAAACGTCGATGTTTAGTTCTTTGGAAATCACCAGAAGAATGGGCGAAAACAATATATCAATGGGTATGTTCTACAGCTGATTCGCTATCACTTAATCATCCGTTCTCTTTCATTAGATCACAGCCCATGGTATGAATGGGACAGTTTGTACATTTTATGAACTATTACATGGTGATGACACACGTTCAGCGGGTAAAGAACTATTCTTGAATATCGATGAGAAACTTTTCGTTTTTTTTTTTCTTCTCTAGAATTTCATAATATAGATCCACAACTTTTTCGTCGAGTTCTAGGAGAATTAGAAAAACGTGGTCAAGCGACGGTCTTTGCCGATAATGGTACTGAAGGTGTTAAATTTTCCTAGAAAATGAATTTGATAAATTCAATAAAAACTATTTATCTTATTTTAACTGGAACAATGAATGCAAAAAATCCTAAGTTTAACTCGTGCTCCTCGTTCTTTTAGATGGTAGACGAAGTGACTAAGAAAACTCTTTCGAATATTCCATTGTTAAAGACCAAAGCAAGTCCACGTGATGGTGAACAGTGGCGACAACGTCTGAAAGAAGAACTTCAATCTCTAATTCAAGTAAGTAGACAGCCGAATGATCTCTAAATACGTTCATTTGTGAGTTAGTATGTGAAAAACAATAAAGAAGCTGATAACGACTGGTTTCGTTTGGAATCAAATCAAGAAGGAACACGTTGGTGGGGCAAAGCTTGGACTATTCAAGATATGTTACGTTACGAATTTGATATTGAATTTGATGTAAATATAAGAAAAGCTGTTGCTCATCTGAACCCATCGAGCTCATTCTTCATCTAGATTCCAGTCACATATCCGATGTCTGCGCCAGAAATTGCAATACCTGATCTCGATGGAAAAACAGCGAAAATGTATCGGTAAGTATTTGATTTGATTCGCATTGCAAACCTTGAACATAATTGTTTTGTCTAGTGGAGGCAAAATCTGTATGACTGATCATTTTCAACCATTATGGGCCCGAAATGTACCTCGGTTTGGCATTGCTCATGCACTTGCTCTCGGTGTAAGTTTTCTTCCTTTCCAGACAGTGATCAATTAGTCTTCTCAATGTTAATGTTTAAATAATAGCTCGGTCCATGGCTTGCTGTCGAAATACCAGACTTAATTGCTCGTGGTATTGTCGTCCATAAAGAAAAAACAGCGCCAACGACAACAGCTGATGGTTCATCATCGACAAAATAAATTCTGCGTACAAAAAAAAATCCACGAAAGAAATATCTTTTTATCTATTTATCGTTATATATTGTCGAATAAAGCAAATATCAAACATCAGTGTTTTCTTCCAATTGCTGTCTTATAGAAGTTTTGAATGAATAGGTTCGAAATTAGAATCAATCAAGAGAACAATATCTGCAATTACCATTTGTCAGGAAGTCCTTTCCTTTTCAAGTCGATGTGCATGAAAACGATGAACTTGGCTAGTACATGATTACATAGTATAACAGATGAGAAAGCGATCAGCAGTTGAGCGAGATAAACAATCAAATGTACTTTCTTCTCACTAGTTAAGAGAATGTAATCAAATATTTGTTAATTATTGATAAAATATTTTATCGATGAAAATTGACATCGCCGAAAGAACTAATCGAGAGTCATTCTTGTTTCAGTTTACTTTTGCTGGTCATTTATTTGTACACATAAAGTCGTAATTCGAATTGAAAAAAGTATTTGCTTTACATAGAACAGTATAAATCGATTTGCACAGACAACGATGAAAACGATGACGGAATTTGGTTGTATTTTTTTTCTTGTGTTTGGTTCTAATATACATCGAGTAAGAGAGAGAGACAGAGAGAAGGAGGAAAATAGGAAGCATAAAAGATGACTAGTGAAAAATAACAACGTCTATTTCACTGTAAAATATATTTATATGTATAAATATATCATTCAAACGAAAGTTTCACGTATGATATCTACCATTCGTCGAATTCGTTGTTTTCGTTGTCATATGTTTATAAGGTTTAGTTGCTTCTTGTTGATCATTAATCTCACTGACATCGTCATCATCATCGATTTGATCATTCACAAATGTATCATCGTCTCCAACATCGTCATCTTCGTCATTACCATTAGTTTGTTCATCGTCATGTTGAAATACTTCCATTAAGCCTTGAACGATATTTTCTAAGTAATTATTTCCACCTAAAGCATCAATCTCGTCATAAACTTGTTTCGCTAAGTCATCACATGTTTGACGTGTATATTCAATCGAACCAAACTCATGTAACAATTGCACGCAGTAACGTTTCAAGTCCATATCATGTGTCCGTTGTTTTAATATATGAATGATTCGTGTATCTGTCTCACGTGTGTTCACAGCATGTAAGATCGGAAAAGAAAATTTTCCTTCGGTTAAATCTTCACAGTAAGATTTATTATTGGTATATTCGTCTGATATTAAATTACAGTAATCATCGCGTATTTGAAATAAAAGTGATAATAATTGACATAATCTATCGAAATTGTATGTATTACGTATTTCAACAGGAGCAAATAATTGCATGAGACGCACAGCTAAGTTGAATAGCCCACCACATTTTCTTATAACCATTTGTCGGTATTCATCTTCGGATGGCGACACGAAATTGTCGCGCCACCAGATCTCCATCCCTTGGCCATGATGTAATTCTAACATTTGTTCTAAAAATGAAAAGACGCGATCAGATTTCGTGCTACTATCAGATACAGAACAGCGCCTATCATGAGACTCATAGGCCCCGATGATGACGGCGACGCACATCGTCTGATGTATATCAAGTTTGCCCTTTTTTTCACGGCAAAGATAAGCCAATTTAATTAGTTATTAAATCAAGGTTCTTTTTATAACCTACCCACATAGGAAAAAGCAAAAAAAGTGCACGCGAAATTCGATGCATCATTCTCTTTGATTATAAAAATCATCAAGTATTTACACATTGATTTGATAAGAAGGTCTTTCTATGAAGCACTATTACTCATGGGTCTAAATTAGTATCAATGAAAATCATACCGACGAAAATGTGTGTCACATCGCTATGTTTTAATATGAGAGCTTTTTGCATTGCTAAGAAATAGACATAATTGGCAGCATTGATTGTCAATGGTACGCCGTAGATACTATGAGCTACAGGCGAGCCGCGACGTAATTTTGAATTGTCTTCAATATCATCAATCAGTAACGATGCATTATGAAGCATTTCGACGAGTTCTCCAATAACGACAAGTTTCTCTTCAGGTATATTAAACCAATAATTAAATGCCTGGTGACAGAAATGAAATCTAGCTCATTTGTCATAGAAAATCAAAATTTTGTTTTACTTTAATCAATTTCGGACGAATTTGTTTGCCAGGAATAGTTCTTATATACTCATAAGGTTCCAGCAGGATCTATAATTCAATATTATAATTGCATATCCATGAAAACAAACATGACGTACTTTATTTTCTGGATCCGGGTCTGAAGATGAGACCTCATCGTTTTTTAACATTGAGCAGAATGATCGAATAGATTTAGAAAATCTAGAACAAGAAAATGGATCTCTCGTTAGTAGGATTGGACAATCGTCGTTGCTTGTGGCGAGCGGGTAAATGAGATATTGCGTCATGACATGAAGAGATGCCAATATACATATTTATACACGAGTCTGATGCTTAATTCGAAACACTGTTCGGCATCACGGCGATGTAAATGCGAATATTTGCGCAGGCAAAAAAGAAAGAGAGCAAAGGAAATTGGTTTTATACTCTTTTACTCTTTGTGTCCCTCTCCTCTCTCTCTCTCTCCCTCTGTTCCTCTCTCCCTTTTCTCTCTGTACTTTACAATGGACGGTGTCGAATCGATAGATAGACATTGAGTTTAATCAAAATGGACAACAAACATCAATCGACGACGACGCAGTTCGTTCGACGTTGCGTAATCTTTTGGTTGTTTGATATACATACATACGTGCACGTGTGTCACTGTGTATTTATATCTAAATTTGTCTGAACCGATATTCGGAAGTCTCATAATTATCCACCTATAATCAATAAAAGATGTGTCAATACTAGTTTATAGAAGGGGAAAAGAGCAACATATGCGGATGAGACATATGATCGAATAGTAATACGCAAGTAAACACCTGCATGTGGTGTTGATGAGGTCAAAAGGCTATCATGCAGAGAGGGAGAGAGAGAAGAAAGAAAATGACGAAAGAATCATGAGAGGAAAATGTGATGAAAAGAGAAACTATTGAGTTTATTGAAGAGGACGACTGTATTTTTCGATCAGTATACATCGTTTTTACCTGTTCGATAAGGAGCAATCGTAGTGTCCTGATATGCATATAACCAGCACGTCACTGTGATGATTCATTCATCGAATACTTGAGATTAACGTAGAGCAGACGTCAACATACGTATATCACACTTGTTTTGTGTATAGAAAAGAGACTCTAATAAAACACGCCAGTACGCGGCCGACAGAATAGTATTAGTTCTGATCCTGTATAGCAACCATTCTCTCGCTATTCTATACGTTTTCTCCAATTTCTATCTTTATTTGACGACAGGAAACACAAAATCTTTTGAAAAACGGCCTATTTACTGACAGAAAAGAAAGAGAAAAAAAGACCCGACTCGTACGTACCTACTATATTTGATCAGAAAATAGTACAACTAGAAGTTTCTCAATCAACAGTGTGTAGTGCATTACATTTGAGGCCAGATGATAAAATAGACAGAACATACATCGGAGTAAAAGGTCACCGATTAGACGACGAGCAGACAATGATCAATCAATCGAACGCATCGATTGCTTTGATCATATTTTCCTTTGCTCAACATGAACACATCTACATAGACATCATCAAGTAAGCAAAAGAAATCTCTCGGCAATTTGTCAAAATGTATATTTTGATATAAATACCAAACACGCGATGTTACCGATGATAACAATGAGACTAATTGGTGAGGTTGAATAAATGTATAGTTAGCAAATGAATATCTAGTAATGAAAAAGAAAGAGCTAGCTGATGGAACAAGAGAATGACGATGTCGATGATCAAAAAAAAAGAATCACATCACATCAATATTGACGAGAGAATGAAAGATAGACGATGGTAAAAAGCTAATGTTATTCGCAAAAGCCATTAGATATCATGAATAGATCATTAGTCAAGGTCGTGAACATACACTCGACCTGCTGTGTTCATGGTCAGAACATGTACAGCGATTCTGTGTCATCAGCAACTGACTACTCGTAGAACATTCTGATTGATCAGAGTCTTCAACGAGGAAAAAAAGCCAACAAGTAAAGAACGAAGATATAAAAAGATCCTTTATGATATCTACAGCATGAATGAAATTAAAACAATATCAAAACAACGTAGACATGCATCAGTTTTTTGTATAAGTTTGATAAAAAGGGTTTTTGGACGAACAGAGCAGCTCTTCATCGAATTTTGGGGGTATTCGGCCTTCATTGTTATTATATGCATCTGCTAGCATATCACGCTGAAGACAGTAGGCTGTAAAACGACTACGAGCATATTCCTATACGTACGAATAAGTAGATTTTAGAGGATATTTTGAAAAGTAATTTACCATATAGCCGAATTTGATCGATGTTGATACGGCCATATTGATAGCCCAGAGTGTCCACATGAAATGTGACGCGAGAGCAAAATAGTTTGCCTCTTTCATTACTTGTTTTGTTAAAGCTGCTCGATCCGAATCAGTCTTGAGTGAATTGATGTACGCCGAAATGAAATTTGTCTAAATATACGATCGATTGTTGTTTATGAGAATCGAATGGATTTTTACTTGTTGAGTTTCGTTTGGATAAAGTGTAAAATCAACTTTGTAAAAAGGCCATTCCGTTGCGGATTTGTAGTCAAACATGAACTCACAAAAGTGATTTCCAATATCAAAACCACTAGAAAGATCTTCGTGAAAAACGATTCGCCGAGAAGAAAATGGTTTCTTACCGGTAGTTATAAGAGCAATACTCGAAATCAATGACAGTATAATTGTCTGGTTGTGATTTTAAACGAAGAATATTCCCTGGTTGAAAATCATTGTGAGAAAAACAAACGGGACTATCAATCGTAGATAGTAAGCTCCTATAACGAAGAAGAAAAGATTTGTCTTTATATTCGTTTATCGAAAAAGAGAACAATAGTTTACTTCATATTGTCATATTCTTCCTTAAAATTACATACTGCTTGGAATTCTTTAAAGATCGCACGATCTTCTTCACGCTCAAATCGATTGATGTTCGTAGGTAGATCCACAAGATACCTACGTATATTGATGAGAAAGACATTTTTTTCGAACAAAAATATAAACCGTTCGATCGTTCGATATAGCCATGATGGCTCCTTGACCAAAGGCATTTCCAGTCGATGAATTTCACTGAGGAGACCAGCGAGTTTTTGCGAGATGGTTTCATCTCTAATCTCACTGGCAAGTAACGACTCAGCCTATAATTAAAATGATTCATCATTGATTCTACTCTACTTAATATTTACGTCGTAATTCCTTAACTACGTTTCCATCACGGTATGCCTTTCCCCTATCTAGTTATCACAGCTAGAGATCGCTCGTTGACAGTCGGTTACCTAAGTAGAGCAATACTTACATCAACAAATTCTTCGAGACGTCCTTCAGGAAATATACCATGCACACGTGGACCTATTTTTCTTTCAGATAACAATGTACAGACTACGCTGTCAATGAGTAATGTTCCACGATGTTGTCGATGTGATTCACCGTAGATTCTGTTAGTATATAATCAGTCAAATAGTGAACATCAATCGAAAGAAAGCTACTACCTCAATAATATTTTTCGTGGTTCGTTGTTTTGCGTTTCGATATTATCTGGTAGAGAACAGCAGTATAAATAATTTGACAAACCACCACTAATACTCAAATAAATACAAAGACGGCAAATAAATGTGAAGAAACATACGTAATTCGATCCATGCGCATTTGTTCTACTGTAATTGTTGTCCAAGCGCCACTTAGAAAGTTCTGGCACCATTCCAACGCTTGTGAAGCGCTTACTTTTTCTCGACTCATACCTGATGATCGTTGCAATAATCTAAATAGAAATTTTCCTCATACAATTTCTTCCTTTCTCTTCATTATTTCGCACTACATATAATTGAGTGCATATTAATTCAGCTGATGCAAACTGTACGTCATGGTTGGCTACTTCAAATTAGTTGATGTATGCTTTTAATTGATGAACATGATTGGGCATTACATCGAATGATTTGCTCGATTTTCCAGTTTGAAAAGAGCAGTAAGAACAAACTAGAGGTCCTCGTTGACCATTTATGATTGCTTTCGAATATAAATAGGCGAAAAAAAAGTCTGTTTTATTGCTTGCGACTTACTTTTTAACTGGTTCGACCACTCGGTGAATCGAAATGATTATTTTATTCGCGAATGACATTGCTTTATCTAGAAACGAAAGAGAAAGACCACACTATGTCAATATTATTCTGAAGCACCATTCTACAACAATATTAAAGAACGAAAAAGCAAATATCGCACGAAATTTACCTGTTTGTCATTCACCAACATGGTGAATAAGCTGACATCCTTTTATAAATAGAAAGAGAAATTACATAGCACACGCATAATTCTGATTCAGAATGACTAAGATGTATTCCGATCCGTACAACCAGGAGAAAAGAAAAAAAGACGAACATACCCAATAATACAATTACGTATATCGTTGATCTGGGAAATGACACAGAGTAGTTTACGTGGTATACTTCTTATAGATATGTCAACCAAAAATAGCACGCACACGTGACAGAACTATGACTTAAAAGACGTCATAGAACAAGATCGAATAAGTATATGGTGCTCGTTTTCAATCAACTAAACCGAATTTATCCGTACATTGATGACTCATTGACTGGGCGAAGATGTCATATCTTCGTGTTTTTTTTTATTAAATCAAAACAAATGAATCACAATGATATTCAAATGCATTCTATGTGATCGAAAGAATGTAACTAGTAGTATATACATTAGAATTTTTCTGTTTGTAAAGGTTGTTGTTCTACTGTCGATGGTTTAAGTGGATCTTCGTAGCGTTGAAATGGATTGGAAATGATTCGTGTATGTATTTCAACGAATAGTGGAACATAGATAAGCCAATCAGTAAAATCAACATAGTTTTTGCCTTCGCGATCAAACTTTTTCTTGCACTAAAAAATATAAGAATAAATTTTAAAAAATTTTCAATCTTCAACGGTCATTACATGTTCGATATTCTCCTGTTCAATTCCACCGGCAGATAGTTCCACACATAATGTTTCTAATGGTACATAACCGTTGGGTGCAATCTTTTGACTTTTGTCTGCCATTAGATAGAACAATTCCTACGAACGACGAAAGAAATCGAGTAAAGTTCAATTTCAAAATCGATACTAACCTTTGCTTTTTGCATTTTGATATCTAAGGCTTCATAATCGAATTTATTGATCAGATTACGTACAAACGGCCTAGAAGAAATAAACAGTGATTGAACGGATGCCAATGAAAGTTCCTACTCTATTTGATTAACAGTTTCTGAAAGTGCTGCAATAATGCTGAAGACTCGTAAATTGATCCGCTTAACACCTGGAATTTTCAGAATCTAAATACGATTCCATATTATTCCTTTCAGGTACCGCGTGTGAAAGTACATACAAATTTAATGTAATGACATTCTTGATCAGAAAATAGATTGCCATTGATTTGTCGAAGTGCATTTTCAAGTTCTTCAATATTCATTTCATAATCCTACACTCACAAATGAATATAAAACAATTATCCTAAGAAGTGTTTTCTCACGGTTGGTGGATGCAATGCGTTCCATAATGGACTTTGTTGCCGTCGAAATCTTTCGACGCGCTTATATTTGTACATGACTTTTTGTCGTTCTTCTTGATCAAGTGCAATTAAATGTTCGCGTTCACCTGAAGCGAAATTTCACATCATACTTCTGTTCATTCAAATTCGATTTGATAAACATACCAAGTAACATTTCAATTCTCATACGTAATTGGGTTAATTTACTTGTACTCCAACGCACTTGTCCATTGAGTTGTTTGATTTCCTCTCGACTATTGATCTAATGAAAAACTCATCGGATTTTCAATTCTATACCGTTCTCTCTTACAGTTTGTATTTGAGTTTTTGACAGACGAGTTAATAACTGTTCAGTTGTATATGATGAGGCATAGCTTCTCAATTCGAAAATAGTTTTCTCAGTTGACTAGAAAATAGTATGGATTCGATGAGATGAGAATGAACGAGTTGCTATCATACAAAATTCTTCTTTGGACTGAAGTCAGGATCTAGAACTTCAGGATAGAGTTCGACAATGGCTTCGGAAGTTAAATGACTGATTTGTCCTGAAATAGAATGGCATGAGCGAAAAAGATTTCGACATGAACTTAGTCCTACCAGTTGATGCGTTTAATGTTTGAGTAACGTCTGTTTCTTTCATCCGAAGTCCATCAAGGATGAAATTGATTTTGTCAATCTTTCGAGCGGTTTCAGACTGTGAAGATATACATGGAGAGAAGATCATTGAATTTTTTTATCTTACTTTCACCGGTGGTTCATCATCGTTATAACGTTCAGTAACGATTTCTTTTTCGAAATTAAGCATAGATTGACTTCGTTGATTACCGAGACTAGTATCAATTGAGTAAAACGAACAATCAACAAGTGTACTATTTTACATACCTATTTTCATTTTCATCATCGTTACCATCAAACATTCGGTGTTGTTTCGAACCACGTTTACGTCTTCGGCCACCCATATTCGTCCAAGCACTTCCCATGGTACTGCCTCGTTTCATATTTGTTATACTCGTCAAATCTGCTGGCGGATTTTGACCAGGATATGCTTCTTTCTGATGTTTGATTGTATTCAAAAAGACACGTTCGTAGTTTATCATACGATCGGGACTGGAAGAAAAGGAAATTCATTGAGGAAAATAACATGATTTAATCAACTACGTACTGAATGATGCAGAATTTATAAAGATAATCCATTGGATCGATGATTTCTTCGAGACTAGACTTTGTTAATGGAGGAACATCAACAATACGTTTTTTCGCACGTTTTTTCCTACAATTAGAATTGCGATAGGTTAAAATGAAGACAAAACAAGGAACAAACGAACCTTAGTTCTTCCATGAGTCTCAGTCGAACTTCCGGCGTTAGATTAGGATCATTTAATAGAGCCTCTAAATCATTTTCATCGATTTTCGCCAATTTATCTGGATCAAGAAGCTGAAACACAAAATTTTGTAAACTTTCTCTAGTCAAAATTTGTTCGTACCGCTTTCATTGGATCGTCAGGTTTCTTCGGAGTTCTTTTCACCAAGGGTGGTATATTCTAAATGAGACCATCCATCTCAAAACATATTGTGTTTCCACGACTCAATACGTACGACTTTTGGTTTTTTCACCTGTGGTCTAGGAGTTGGTGTTATTCCTCCGACACCTTCGATGCCATTTAATAATGGATCGATCGCTAAAGTATCGCGAGTAGAACAGATGAGAACTTGAAGGATTTAAAAACAAAAGGAGAATTTACCTTTTAGTTTACTTCTGATCTTTGGATTTGAATTGATTTCTTTCAACAGTTTTTCTCGTATACTTGCTGGAAGATTTTTTAATTGAAGTAACGCTGATATGACTTCTGCGGATAACTGTTCGAGATTTTTAACAATATCTTCGAGAATTTCAAGTGGAACCTCTCCCATATGTTCTAACAGTTTTTTTAACACTTCCGGTGGAAGTTTATTGGCGCGCACTAAAAGTTCTTTGACCAATTTTGGCGTTAATGTGATAACTGATTTCTATAGATGATCAGAATGACGATGGGAAGAAATTTCTCAGAGGATTAACTTACGATTAATTCTGTGAGAAGTTCGGATGAAATACCGGCTGATGCGCGCAACATTTCTTGTAAGATCATGGCTTGAGTATTTGAATCAAGTTCTGGGAGATTATTGATGATTTCTTTCATAACACGCTGTTTAACATCCGACTGTAAACTTGGTAAGCTCCGCGCTAATTCAATCAGATCCTTTCCCGACATCTTCTCAATACTCTTCAACACTTTTTCTAAGACTTCAGGCGAAATATCTTTGGAATTTTGCAGAACAGTAAGCAAGGTTGTTGGATCGATGGGATTTTTCGTCATTTCTTCAATTAATTTTTGTTTCATTTCACTACTAATCTGTCCGCTATTCAATAGTTGTTGCAAGAGATCTTTTTTACTTGGATCATTGGCAAGATCTAGAAGAAAACGTCAATCTCACTATTTAGAAACGATAGTGAAGAAAACAAACCAGCTAAGAATCGATCACGTTCTTCAGGGCTCATCTGATTCAAATTTTTGATCATTTCGTTCACTAGTTTCTTTCGTAATGCTGGATCTAAGCTATCGCGATTTTCTAACATCTTTTCAATTAATTTTTTGCGTTCTTCTAGAGGCAAATCGTCGACATTTTTCAACATTTCTTCTAATAATTTGGCTCGGACGGATGGATCCAAGTTTGGATTACTCAGCATCTTCTCCATTAGTTTTGCTCGTTCTTCTGGTGGTAAATTATGCATTTCTCTCAATAAGTCACTGATCATTTGTTTTTGCACATCGACCGGCATACCTAAAGAAAAACCTTCGTTCAATGAAAAAGAAGAGAAACAAACACGTGAACGCACCCGCAGCTGATTTCAGTAGATCATCGACGAGTTTTTCTTTCATTTCGGGTGGTAATTCATCGAATTTCTCCAGAATTTGCTTGAGTAATTCTTTCTGCTCTTTCGCTGATAAAGTTGTTATGTTCGATATCAACTGTGAGACGGTTTCCGGTGGAAGATCTTTTAAATTTGAGACTAATTTATCCATTAACTGCTTTTTTACTGCCGGATCTGTGACACTATTGATTTCATTCATCAATTGGCCAAGAACTTTCTCGCGTTCTTCTTTAGTTAAACTAGAGGGATTTTCCAGAAGTTTCGAGAGCATCTTCACACGAGTCTCCTGATCCAAACCAGAATCCTTATTCAGTAAATCTTGAATCTAAACCAGCAGAACAACACGTTTATACTCACTTCGACATAATCGGTAAACTTACAAGTTTTTCTTTCACAGCCGGTGGGAGATTTTCCACGTTGTCCAGCAGTCCTCTCATTACTCTCTCCTTCAAAACCGGATCAAGTCCATCCAAGTTTCTCATCAACGTTTCTAGCTGTTCGGCATTCAAATTTCCTTGATTTTTCAGCAGTTCACCAATAACAGCTGCTTTTTGTTCGTCGCTTAATTTATCCATCGAATTCATCACATCAGCAAGTAGTTTGTTTCGTAACTCTTCAGGTAAATTATTCATATGTCGAGCTAATTCAGCCAGTGATGACGGTGCTAACTTATCGACAGATTTCAGTAATTCTGTCAGAACAGCTTGAGGCACATGAGCACTATTTCGAATGATTTCTTCGAGAACTGATGGTGGCAAGTCGTCTTTTTTCTGAAGAATCTCTTGAAAGAGACGTTCCTGAAGATCTGCTGGTAAATCACTAACGTTTTTAATCAATTCTTGAAATACACCAGCTGAAAGATTGGCTGCGTTATTCATAATTTCTTCTAAGATTTGTCGTTTCATTTCTGGATCGTCCAATTTCGAAGATTTCTCAATGATTTTTCGTAATAATTCATCACGTTGATCAGCAGGTACATCATCTAATGCATGGAGAAAATTCTGTAAAACTTGACCGTGCATTGTTGGATCAACGAGATCGAGATTGTTCAGAATTTCTCTCATTACGGTTTGCCGTAATGCAGGATCCATATTATCGACATTTTTCAATAATTCCACTACTAGTTTTCGTTTCATTTCTTCGGGTATCTCAGTAACATTTTTCAATATTTCAGCATAAACTGCAAAGAAAAATATACATGTTTCGATAAATCAGACTCAAACTCTTTACTTCGATCGCGTAGTTCGGGTGGTAAATTATCAGATTTTTCTAGTAATTTCTCTAATAATTGTTGGCGAATATTGGCCGGAAGATTTGCTAAGTTCTTTGTTAATTCAGCTAGAACACGTTCGCGCTCTTCAGGCGATAAAGTAGCGAGACTGTCAATAAGATGTTGTAGAATTGTTTCACGCATAGATTCAGGGATATTATCCGCTTCACGTAGAAGATCCTGCAACAGTTGTATTTTGGCATCCGGAGTGAGGTTATCCAAATTTTGTATGATTTTTTCGATTAGTGCGTGGCGACTTTCTTCTGGAAGAGAAGAAATTTTCTTCACTAAATCACTTAGAATTTTCTGCCGATCATCTTCCGTTAAAGTATCGAGAGTAGCGAGAATGTGTTGAATGACTTGTTCACGAGCTTCAAGTGGAATATTGTCGATGGATTTGATCAATTGTTCCGTGACTAAAATATGTTTTTTTTCCAATGCACGTTGCGAGAAAATGATTTATTTTGTTTACCTTTCGCTCGTATGTCTGGCGGTAATGATTTCAAGTTTTGTGCTAACCCAACGAGTACTTTTTCTTGCATGGCATCTGTAAACCAACAAGAGCGCACTGATGGTAAAAAAATTCGTAAAAAAACTGCCTTTTACCAGATAGTTTTCCTTCGCTAATCAATGTTGCTAAATGTAAGATGGCATTATTTCGAATATTTTCTGGTAGGTCTTCTAATGATTGAAAATCATTTTGGAATAAACTGTCAAGTACACGTGCCATAATCATTTTTCTATCAGTGAAAATTCGTGAAAATGAAAAATGAGGTTTCCTGGTATACTTACTCGCGATCGCTCATTAAACCAAAGCCAGCGAGAATTTTTTCTAATGATGATGGAGACGAGACAATGGCTAGAAATAGTTGCTTAACGCTTTTCAACGAATCGAAATTGTTCATAAATTCTGGATGTGGTACAGCATAACCGTCTCGACAATATTGTTCCATGGTGCGTCGAGTTACACTATTGTGACATTGATGAAATAGAATGAAGAAAGTATCATTCATCAAAACTCACTTCACTTGATCAAGTCGTCTATCAGGCAAAAGATTATTCTACAGGAAAATAGTGTATTTTCATCGGAAAGAAACTCTATCGTCATCCTTACCCAAAATGACATGTCCATATATTCTGTCGTCGATGCATCGAGCGATCTCGGTGGCTTTCTCAGAGCACGAAAGTCATCATAGTCCAAGGAGCGAGTGTAATCCGGTCTTGACGGCACAGGTGCGTGAGGTAAACTACAAACACGAAATGTGATGTTTAGCAGTAGGTAAACGCTCTTACCGCCATTCCGTATCCGTCAATCGATGATGCGGCAGTGAAAGATTTGATTTGGCCTCGTAGATCGCATTTTGATACGTCGTTTCAGTTTTTAAGATGAAGCCCGCCGCATTTCGTAGGACAATCTTTGGTAACTTCGGTGATTTCTGATTTTCTGCTTGAACATTCTTTTTCTTCGATGTGCGTTCACCAAAGTACGAGATCGTTGCGCTATTGAAATCCATCGAATTTTTTTTTCAAAACAGCTATGCCACAAAGAGAAAAGAAATGATTATACACTTTTCTACTTGTGTGATACTTTCCGATTGAGTCGCACGAAAATAAAATCAATCCTTTTCTTTTTCTCATTCTCAGTTGCAAGTTCGAGAGGGCATTTTTCTTTCACTCTCTCTTTTCATCTCTCTAATCGAAAGTTTACAATGAAACTGAGCAGTATTGATTTTGAAAGAAGAAAGAAATCTTTTAACAAAGCGAACTTTGAAAAAGAAAAGTTTATGCATCGCTTTAGGCAACAAACACTTTTGGTTTTCTACTTCATTCATTCTCTAGCAGAAGGTAACGATGTTGTGCTGAAGCGTAACTAGAAGATGAGATAGATGCAATTAATGTTGATGTATCTAGTTTGTTTTCAATCGAGTCTCGAACATTCAAGAGACCAATGTTTACCGTATAGATTGCTGTGTTTTGTACTGGAGGCATTAAGTATTCTCTTTTCTTTTTGATAATGTATTCAAAAAGAAATTAAAATGACGTGAAAACTCTCAAGGAAAAACAAAAGTTGTTTTCATGCAACATTGAAACAGCAGGCCAATACATTTGCTAGCGAACTTGTACCTGCGATTCGGCGACTTCTCTGTTACTTTACAGTACTGACAAACTGCATAGTATCATTGTACTTATTTGTCTTAATTCCCGAAAACGTATAAATCTTCTTTGGAGAAGACTATTTCACCGAGGGTGAGGATGAGGATGAGGAGATTTCGGTCGTCCATACTCTCTCAGTGAATTCGGCCACGGATTCTCAATTAATCCTATGGTGACCACTAGCATAAAAGACGGGATATCGTTTGATTCACTGTGTCATTATGGAATGTTTAGGAACATATGAAAAATTTCTGAATCAGAAATTGTTCCATTTAATTCGTGCAAAACATATCTGAATTCATCGATTGCGCACTTTCATTCGACAATATTCCAAGATTTTCAAAGGATGAAGACCGAAGATCCAAATAGTTGACCGAGAAAAAACGTTGTACAGTTGAGGATGTGCAGCTAACATGCCTACAAATCCCCATTAGTGATCATTCACATAGTACAATACAAAAGATTCGACTCATAAATTCGAGGAAATCCATATCCGTTCTTGGACAAAATACCTCATCTACAATAAAAAGAAAGAATCTGCCGTCCGATGAGACTCTCAGTTAACTTGAAAACGCATCATAGCGTTCTTCTTTGACAGATCCCACACGTTCAAGAACTTGTTGATGTATAACGTTGATAAATTGTAGTCTGTATAACATAAAGCCAATCTCGTTTATTTATAGTTTTTGATCATCAGAGATGAATGTCATTCACTTTCGAATTCGCCGATCCTTTTCTGAAAGAATTCTCCTAGTGTTGAACAGGTTCAAACGCTTTGGAAAACGAATAAAGCACTACGCTTGCTACTAGTCGTCAGCTGAGCTGTGACGCTGTGTTATACAGTCAACAACTGATTCTTTTCTGTACTTTCAAGAGAATGAATCTGTGTCGGATATTTTCATTGACGAACATTCGTCAAACCATTGTTAAAAATCTTCCCAGTTCGATGGAGTTGTTCTAAACGTGTAAGGCAAGGTTAATCTGAAATTTTGAGGTCTAGTCGGTCGGCCACTCACGGCTGGCCGTTGATACATAATGAATATCTATTATACTTTTATATAAAAAAACATACCGTTCGTGTTGCGTCGGTCTTTAATCGCAGTTATTAGAATACTTCGTAACTGTGTCATTCAGAGTACATATTTTATCGTTCGCTTCAGTTTATGGAGCTGATAATTTGCAGGGCTTATTCTCGACACTCACAGAGACATCAATTATGTTCCTTCGAAAAATCATTGATAAGAGTTGGAACTCATACGAAATTCATCTTTCGAATATCTTTCAGAAAAAACCGCCTAGTTGTTGCCATGGCTGCCTCTATGATGCCTTTCATATTTGATTAACTTTCAGAGTATACAGCTACGTTTCTTTTCATTGTTGCTTCCACAATGGTGGTCTTCCACTCATTTGACTACCAAAGTCGGTCAGATCAAAAGTTTTATTTTGTGATTGCTTCGTATGTTTAGAATACTATTTGCACAGCCGATGTCTCTCAGTAAACAGCGCAATCATCATACTAAGCTCATATCGCTTCTTCTTATTTCATGAATTACAGCTATCATAATGTAAGGTACACTAAATCTTTAATCTTTTTGTGCGAGCTCCATAGACTACTATTTTCACATATACCGCATTCAGGGATAGCATTCTATCCACTACCTTCTACAAAATATACTTGTCAAAAAAACACAAAAAAATATTTCTTTTGGAAAACTGAAAGACGTAGAATATGCTGGACGTGGATTCGACATTTTCTTGAACGCATTCGCACACGAGTGTATTCCAACTCTCGTTTCGTGCGTTTTAAGTAGAACTCGATAAACTCTATCGATTCTATGCCTTAATTATCAATTTTAAATAATATACAGTTGAGGAAAATTCCGATTGTCAAGTTATCGTGCACATGCACATTGACAAAAACCCAGATTGATAAATTCACATGAACAAATAGATATTTTTCTTATTATTCTTTAGAGATTTTAGATTTTATTGATGAATGTTTATCGAATAATATAAGCATGTCATGTAAGAGACAAGTTAAAGCGCTTATAAATGGCGCACTTTGTGAGATGATGGGTGTGAGAAATTGCGAACGAATGTGAATTTTATGCAAAAATCACAAATTCTTTTAATAAAAATTAAAGTTGAGTGAATTTTCTAGTCAAACTGTTTTCGGCGCTTCTACACGATGTGCAGACCCCTCCCTTCACCCTCAATTATTAAACGAATATAAAGTTTCGTTGTTTTAACTCTGCAGCATTGGTTTCACTTTGAAAATATGTTTAAGTTATGAGTACTAACAAACGGCTGCATACCTTTGTTGAATACATATCGTTTACACAATTTGCTCCCAGATCTACTTTACTGCTTAATTGATATATTCAATTATATAATTCGTTGCCGAAGTTGTTTTCAATACGTTCATTATTAGAAACAAATTAAAAATAAACAACGAGCAATCCAGCTTTCAGATTCTGCCGAATTCCCATCGAATCCAATGGAGTGTACTCGCTCTGAGCAACCATCCCCTAAAGCGTAATTAAGATTGAGAACCTCAAACTCGACGTCAATTTCTTCTGGTGCACCTTTTTTTAAAAATCTTATTCGATATATAATCTATTTGAAATGAAATCTTTCCAATCCATTATAAGAATGCGTAAACTCCTTGCTCTTTTATGCTGGAAAAAGAACATCATGTGACGTACAGTACGATGTCATTGGTGTTAAACAGGGTATAAAGCAAAACATATTCATTGAATTCGAATAGGAATAGAAAAACGGCGGATATTGTGGATAGATCATTATAATCGACTAGACAACAACGGCTTTTTTTTACAAAGAGACAGGTGGTTTGGTTTATGAAGTAAAACAAGTCTCTATGATGTTTCAAGCATGCTGAAAGATATAGTTCTACCATGTTAGTATCAGATCAGCGAGTTCACTGGGCGGACATTACTTATAAATTACATACGTATATTGAAATAAGTTTCATTATGCAAGTATTCGTTATTTTGAACTTGGTCTTCGCTTTTGTTGGAAATATTAGATACAAACTGAAAATTCAACAAGATTTACCGTCAGAAGATGATGCTTTTAAGCGTGAGCGCTGTATTCGAAACAAATATGGAAGGGTATTTCGTTCGTGTGTTAGGAGAAGCTTCTGCAACTACTGAAAAGTAAAGAACACTAATTAATGTAAGCATGTTTGCCTCATTTTAACAATGACAATAAAAAGTTTCAATGTTGCACGGCGTGATTTTATTCACTGAAAACAAAATGCACATATTTTCTTTCTTTGGCTACGGGTACGCTCATCTTTGACTGTTTTATATATCCGTATATGCATATTCTGTCGATAGCATTATATCGGACTTTGTGGATACCAGTGCTAGTTGTTGCAAATTCTACTTTTTTATCTACATTTCGTACAGATTATTACTAAACGGTTGTATTCGTTGAGGATGCTGTATTGATAAACAAACGGAGACTAAATGTGCACAAACATCTTGATTAAAAGTAAAATTATTTGTACTTAGATGATGATACTTCGCATACTTCCAGTCCACTCGATTTATATGAGTGTACTTTGACTAGGTGTTGTTAATCCCTTGCAAACAGGCGGAATATATACCATTTCAGATACACCTCAAAATCCAGCAACACTACAGACACAAGATTAGTCTGAAGTGACTTCAGATAGCCAAAATCCACTTCTCTTCAATGATCATCATTTCTTGGGAGGCTTCAATCACCGATACGTGCAGAGAACTCAAAGACCGATACCCAAATCAAACGAAATGTACGTTCTCTTACGCAGTGTAATGTTAAGGAACGCTACGAATATATAATATCTCAGCGCACAGGCTATGATGTTGAATGATGCAGAACAGACTGGTTTCAGTTTCGTCATCATTCAAAAGATAGATCTCAGAACAAAGATACAATACCTGCCTATAATTAGATATCAAATGTACCAGTCCGAATTTGACTGAGAAAATTTGTCAAACTGATCATCCTCCGCTTTTCTTACAGCCTCAAATTTGCTATCGTTTCAAGCATTGTGGAGATTTTCGATGTAAGCAAACCATGAACGACAAACCCTGTTATCAGAATAATATACAAACAAGTTCGAGAGTATATTCCAGTGCTTTTTCCGCGATAAAATGTTGCAACAAATACTTCCCTGATATTTTCCTCTGGATCAACACTAAGAGTGAATGAAGCTGATCATAATCGACAAAATAGCTTCTTCTCAGACTACGCTGATCCTGGGAAATGATTAGTCTAACAGTGCGATTTGGTGCGCTACTTTTTGTCCATTCTCTCTTCATTCTGCCATTTTATTGACTTTATAATACATTGTTTCTTTCCAATGCACCACAGAATTCATAGATAACGGAGACATACTACTCTCCAAAAACAAATTACAAACAAACATAACACTTCATTATCAAGCTCTCAATAGATTTAGGCTGTGGAATCAAACATAAAACAGTAAAATAATAATGAAACATCGTTCCCATTCAATGTGCCATGGTCTGATCACTTTACCTTTACGAAAACTGACATGTAAAATGCATACGTGCTGTACTCCTGTCAATTCAATTCTGCTATGTCTCCAATATAGTCGAGCAGTCTGCAGCAATGTTGTCTTATCAATCACACACTTTCAGAAACAAATTCCAATCCAAAAGAACCTCTCATAAACGCATCGTACCATGCCACCTCTTCCATCAAACGTCGTTCTGTTACCCCTTCGTAAGTAAAACATTCGCTTCCACTATTCCACATATATTTTCCCACAACAAAGAGCATTTTCACTCAGGTCACATCCACTTCTCGCAACACAACTCACTATCACTTGTTCTCCCATTCCATTCAGCGCAAGATCTACACCACATTGACGCTGTAAGAATTAGATAAATCAGATATTCCTAATTTTGTTCCAGCAAAGAACCAGTCTTTCCTGCATTCCTACGCAACGCGTCCGCAATGTGTTGTTCTCTTTCAGCATCGATTTCGTTGTCGCCGAGATCTAGTGTGGTGAGTGTCTGTAGGTGTGAGAGAGACTGAGTACTTCACCTTCCGTGAAATCAAATCAATATTACCGTATTCGTTCGCAACGCATCCGCAATGTGTTGCGCTCCTTCAGGACCGATTTGGTTATCCCCAAGATCTAGTGTGATGAGTGTCTGTAAGTGTGAGAGAGACTGAGTACTTCACCTTCCGCGGAATGAAATCAAAACTACCGTGTTTGTTTGCAACGCATCCCCGATGTGTTGTGCTCCTTCGTCACCGATACTGTTATATTCGAGGTTTAGTGTGGTGAGTGTCTGTAGGTGTGAGAGAGATTGAGTCCTTCACATTCCGTGGAATGAGATCAATATTACCGTATTCGTTCGCAACGCATCCGCAATTTGCTGTGCTCCTGCAGCACCGATCGTGTTCCAATTAAGGTTTAGTGTGGTGAGTGTCTGTAGGTGTGAGAGAGATTGAGTCCTTCACTTTCCGTGAAATCAAATCAATATTACCGTATTCGTTCGCAACGCATCCGCAATGTGTTGTGCTCCTTCAACACCGATCCTGTTCCAATTAAGGTTTAGTGTGGTGAGTGTCTGTAGGTGTGAGAGAGATTGAGTACTTCACTTTCCGTGAAATCAGATCAACATTACCGTATTCGTTCGCAACGCATCCGTAATGTATTGTGCTCCTTCGGCACCGATTTTGTTACCGCCAAGATTTAGTGTGGTGAGTGTCTGTAAATGTTAGAGAGACTGAGTACTTAACCTTCCGTGAAATGAGATCAATATTACCGTATTCGTGCACAACGCATCCGCAATGTGTTGTGCTCCTTTACCATCGATCGTGTTCCAATTAAGGATTAGTGTGGTGAGTGTCTGTAGGTGTGAGAGCTTGAGTACTTCACTTTCTGTGAAATCAGATCCATATTACGTTGTTTGTTCGCAACGCATGCGCAATGTGTTGTACTCCTTCAGCACCGATTTTGTTCCAATCAAGGTTTAGTGTGGTGAGTGTCTGTAGGTGTGAGAGACAGTAAGGACTTCGCGTTCCGTGAAATGAGATCAATATTACCGTGTTCGTTCGCAACGCATCCGCAATGTGTTGCGCCCCTTCATCAGCGATTTCGTTATCGCCAAGATTTAGTGTGGTGAGTGTCTGTAGATGTTAGAGAGACTGAGTACTTAACCTTTCGTGAAATCAGAGCAATAGTACCGTGTTCGTGCACAACGCATCCGCAATGTGTTGTGCTGCTTCAGCATCGATTCTGGCGCCGCGGAGGTTTAGTTTGGTGAGTGTCTGCATTAAAGCAACATACTATGAAAAGGGCACGTAGGAAAGAGAACCTTTGATAACACTTCTGATTGTATATGCGTGATATGAAATAGTCATGTTGGAGGACGATTTGTCGGAAGCAGTTGGATCTGGAGGTCAGTTTTTTGGTTTGGATGACGATGGTAGTTGTTGCTCAGAAAAGAGTGCGCTTAGAGAACGGATGCTGAGGTGACAATATGGACAGGAGATCAGTGTGAGTTGATAGACTGGAAAGGGTAGGATATAAATATCAATAGCTATTGATTGTAGCGAGATATCTCTTTTGAAGGCACCGTCCAATGAAATCGAGATCCTACTCGGGTGAAATGTAGGAGTTGGATTTGCTATACCCCTGCTGAGAATGGATCTAGGCATAGGTCCAACTATTGTGGAGGTCAATTTGCTCCATTGGGGAAGGGTTATGAAAGTAATGACTGATGTACTTTTGTATCGAATAGTTCAACGCATGACTATTCGTTTTGATGGTTCGCGATCGCGTATTGGTCGAATGCATGCTCAACATACGTAGGGGAAAGGCGAGAGAGTGGAGGAATGCTTGATTTCGTATGACTTCGTACTGTGATTGTCTCATTCGATCAAATTATTTGTGGACTATGAGATTACTTTACGTCTTCCTACCCAGGTCGAAGAATTCCATACTCGGATCTCATCGGATCCGATGAAATCCTGGTGACGGAATCGCATTGGATTCCGACGGTCTCGGATCCGAAACATGAATTTCCTGGATTTTCTAAGGGTCATCATAGAATACAGCTAAAAAGATCGCTGATAAAGTTTGCAACAACCGACGGGATTTTTCTAGTCGGATTCCAATGCAATTCTGTTTCCAGGAATCCGATCGGATCCACCATCGGATTTGTTGACCTGGGTATGAGGAAATTTGCGACGTCAAATATCATTAGGCTTATGTGTAGCGCAGCCGACAAGAGTGATAAGATGCCAAGTAAACTTACTCGATATCGCTCATAGGTGCTCAGAATCTGATTGAGCCGCCGGGAAATATTTTGCATTGAACAAAATAGCGTCAGCTCATCTTGATGATCCATAATTCGATAAACAAG